GCAAATTAGTATACTTATATAGGAGCTCTGATCACCCTATTTCGTTTAAAGTGATGAAAGACTATTAGTTTAATTTTCTGATAATACTATAAGTATATCTTGCATTTTCATTGAATTTACCGTAATCCGTTAGGGTGGACTTCGGTCTAGACCTCGCATAGGTCTCATCAGAACTCCCAGCGGGACTCGAACTGGGATACCGCAGCGTATAAGCTCGACAATTTAGCCACTATCACACTGCCACGATTGCACTAGGGTCACAGGACAGAGTTCCAAGAAGGTTAGGCATTTTTCCACATCAAATTCTATAGTGCGATTTGCTATAGCAAACGATGGCATTACTCGGTAATGTAATTTCTTAGATGGGGGCGAATTTTATTTGTAATTTGTCTAGAATCGGACGTTGTTAAAACACATAATGGACAAAATTTAAAATCGAGCTGTTGAATACTCGACTAGCTTGCATTTATATCTACACATTTACTTGTGTTCGTCGGAAGCTTGGTTTTAAGACGATTGAACAGAACTTATTGTCTTAATCTGGTCAGCTGGCAGTCTAAAAATATTTGCCCTAAACAAGCAGACAGAATCCCTTCTTTGGAAAACATTACAGCTAAACGTGAAGAAAATTATCAGTGTTCTGCTTATTCGGCGAAGAATATGGAGACAATTGAATTATAATGGAATGAGAAAGTCAACCGAATTGATTACATGTGCCTGGTATAAACATGTCAGACCGGTGAGGAACCTAGGCGGCTAGTAAAAATCAGACTGTTTTCAGCTTACCGAAACCTATCACTCGACACAGCTCTACACCTATGCCTTTATACAATGCACTTCAAAAAATTTCAAAACATCTATGAAAAATTGTCCCGTTATAATGCTGGTTGAGTACAAGAATCTTCAATTTGACTTATATTAGATTTACGATGCAGTCTGAAGCCTTTAATTTTGGCAGCATACCGGGCTCTCTTCCCTTTGTAACTGGTTTATTAAACTAGTGTTCTAAAGGATATATGCCTAGCACTCCCGGTTTACATGAATAATGTGATGGAACACCTTGTTTTCTGCGAAGCTTGCCAGGTCCATGCCTTTTCAGCTTAAAGTTTACTCATTTTAAAGCCCCTAGACCTCTATGCAGCCAGGGCGTTGGAATAAATTTACTTGTAAATTTAAATTTTACTTGACGCTTTTTTTATCATCATGCTCTAAAGTAGATTTCCATACGGCCTATTGAAAGCTCTTGTTTGCGGATACTCAATTCCTTTTCTCACCATTACTGATAGAACTGGCGACGGTACTCATCCTTTAATTATAGGCCTTGTTGATAGAGCTCTTGTTCAGCTGGATTTTCCATACAATGGACTCCCGACTAGGTGTGTTCCTCTAAGTCTTCCTAACAATATGGT